ACGTTAGGTAAGTACAGTCCTGTCAAAATCAGTAGATCTGCAGAGAAAGATCCAGAGCCCCTAAATTAGGAACACACCTTTCTTCAGTGACCATATAGTGAATCTAGATGAAGGAGAGTGAGCATTCCCCACGCCTTTGAGGTGCGTGACACCTGTATCAGCCAACTCCTTCTCAGATATTGCTGACAAAATACAAAGAGGAGCATGGTATTTCAAAGTTAATCTTTGCAATCTTGCTGTAACACAGGGATAAACACGTTTATTGCAGTTTTAAGAACAAGGTGACAAGATGAAAGTAAGAGCTCCAGCAGTTTCAGGTGCTTAGCACGTGCACCTGACCCTTGGTGTTGCAGAACTCTGACTGTATATCAAATGAGCAAAACCTCCTAATTCCTTCAGCTGCATCCCAGAGGAATCAGCATTTCTGCACATCCCAATCCGGAAACTCATGCTGGGCACCAAGTGACAGAAATGTACAAGTGACCTCCTGCAAAAGAGATGGCATAGCCAGCTGCTTCAAGCCAGGAGACCATTGCACTCCACTCTCCTTCTCAGTCATTTCCACATAAGGCCATCCTTTCTCTTGACTCTATGAAGCAGGGATGCTGCAGAGCAGTTTCACTGCACTAGGCTGATTCAGAGAATAAATCTGCACAGGGCATGAGGCAAGGATTGGGTGAAGACAGCATGATATGCAAGTAATGACTGTCACACTGCAGATGCATAACAGGACTACAGCTGCAGATTCGAATCACAGCTGCAGAGATGAGCTTTTGAGGATTCGAATTTATACCTACAGTCTGGATTTGTCATGTACCTCCTTATTTAAAAGTAATTTTTAAAAAAGGTCTTCTAACATCTGGACTTGTATCAATGCTAAAATAGGCACCAGCAGCTTCATCTTAAACCCCTTGCATTTGCAGTCTGATTTTCTACCAAAAATAACTGACAGCAATAGCGGGCTGTTGCAACGCGTGTGACTTACACTCAACCCAATGGGCTTGACACGTTTTCTCTGCAGTATAATAACACAGAGGCTTGGGTCTCTAAGGCTGTTCCAGATCTTGGAGAAAAGCAGTCAGTGGGCACAGTATGTGTGCCTGTAATCCATCCCAGGCTCTCTCTCCTCTCCAAATGCTCCTGCTCCTCATGCTTGTACCCTATTTTCTTCACCACCTGCTCTTCCTATAGCTATCCCAGCTGCCTGCACTCTGAGTCCTGCTTCACCTTCTTGTTTCCCCTACTCAGAGCTTCTCCTGAGCTCTTGCTTGCCATTTTATTTCAGCTCCTCCTCACTCTGTTTCAGCCCTCTGAATTTAAATATGCCGTTTCTCCCCATCTCCTTCCATGTTCTAGGTTCACCTAAGGGAGCAGACTCAGCTGCTGGCTGCCTTCAGTGACTGTGCTCTTCAGCACAGAGATTAGATCATGCAAAACTTCTCTGCTTTTGTAGCAGACACTCCTAGCAGGTGCTATGCAATTATTAGATGACACATGCTTTTAGAAATTATTTTCAGGTGTATTTTGCAACAATCCTTCATTTTCAGACTGCTCTGAAATCCGAAAGGTTATCATGCAGAGGCGCAGAACTGTCACAGAAGAGTTGCACCTAGATATAAGCAGTGTGGCCATGGCTGATTGATATACCTCTACATGCACTGGGCTAAGCCTCCCTTGCATCCTAGAGAGACTAGCAGATATTCAGCCAAAGTGCAGCAGCCCTGCAGTCCAACAACAAAACTTCCTACATACTGATTTCATTACCAGCTAAAATTCTGTACCACAATCCAATGTGAGAAAGGGTTAACTTGGATACATGCTAATTGCATTTGAGGGCATATACATACATTAGTTGTAAGCTTTGTTTTTGGCATCTCAAAAATTAATCTGTCAAGCTAATGATATTCTGAGGTGGCCTTCACATTTGAAGTGCTGTGGGAAGTACAGCACTGCTAACACCTGCAGCAGGTGGTAATGTTCCCCGTAAGTCAGTGCTGAACTGCTGAGTGTTGGAGTGCAGTCTTGTGGATAATACAGGCAGAGTCCAGCTCTTCTTAGCAGTCATTCAGGGGCCTGCAGCTTGCTTCACAGTGGGAGTTTTGGACTTTGATTCATGGCCATGTTCCAACTCAGGCAATTGCATCTGAACTGACTGTCCTCTGCTGCTTCTGTTGGATGAGCACATAAGCTCCTCACTATTAAATGGCACTCATTCTCAAGTGAATGTGATACACACTGACATGTCTGATGACAATGAACAGCAACATGTATGTGCAGAAAGTATCAATTACCATCCTGCCCATAAACGTACTGGCAAGATTAAACTAGATAAAGCATGCTGTGTCAATGGGAACAGCATGGAAGGACAACCCTAATGCAGCCAGATCTGCTAAACAAAACTTTCTGCTTAAGAAGAGAGCTGCCTGTGCAAGACAGAAGGAATGGAGAGTCTGCCTGTCCACCCCACAACTGGCAAAAAAGGGGGCTTAAGCTAGGGGACAAAAAGCAATGCTACATTTTAAGGCAAGCAGCATCCACCTCAAAAGACTGAATTTAGACAGAAGATTTATGCCTTTCAGCAGTGTGAAGGTTTGTGGGATGTAATTTTTTTGTTTGTTTGGCAGAAAGAACATAAAAACTCCATAAACACACTCTAGGTAGTACCAGGTTTCACAAAGTTTCAGATTGGTACATCAGTCACAATAGAAATCTCCTTTCCCCCCTGCCATTTCTCCCCCCTCCCCCATCTTCACAGGCCACCAGTACCGCACTTTGAGACTAGAAGACAAATGGGCAGCTGCTTCTAGAGGCAATTGTGAGGAGACTAAAGATCAACTTGCAGCTGGCATTTCCACCCCCACCTCCCCCTAATACTTCAGTCCACTTGCTGCCAGACAAGGACCATGAGTCAGCTCCTAAACGTATTCTCCTTGAAACAATAGCTACAGCTCTGTGCTGCAGCTATACCACTACTCCAGCTCCAAGGGACACGCCACAGTTATGAAAACAAAAGGACTGATTTTAACCTACAGCAGCCCAACATTAGAACAGAAAGATATAATAAGCATGCACTAAGAATACGATGTTAAACCTGTGAGATTAGTAAAGCTAATTTTTACACGAAACAGGCATTAAGTCAGTGCTGTAATGAAATTCTGCAGGAGGAGCAAACAGACATGGTTTTGGGGATATATGGTAAAGCAGATGGCTTTTGCATAAACCTTTTCAGCTATAACAGGGTGCAGTTTTATACCGCAGCTTTGTATGCTGCAGCGCTAATTAGAGGGCAAAGAAGCCAGTTTAGCCTTTACAAATTAGCTTTATTACAACTGCAGAAGCAGCTCCTTCAATTCTGAGTGACCACCACTCACTGAAACTTCTGTGTTCACAAATGTGGAACTCCAGTGCTCATCTCTCAAAGATATTCCCCCCCAGAAGAAAAAAACCCTTCCTTTTGCAAGGACAACATTTCAGCTTAGCAGCTAATGACACCAAACTCAAACTTGAACTTTTCTGCCCCAGGTGCTGTCAGATGATAAAAGATTCAAAGAACAGGTAAGAAAATGCACTGGAGATTTCTAAGAACTAGTTGTGACCACTGAACACTTGAAGAGCTGTGGTCATAGCAAAGGTTAGACATGGAAGAGTCTGTCCTCATGCGAAGCACCCTCAAGAGATATCAGCACCCAGAGCATGCCTTACCTGCAAACAGTAAATTGATATCCTCTGAAGAGATGTTGCTGAAAGAGCTACAGTGCAAGCTAAAATGTTAGGAAACTGGAGGGAATGCTACCTTTACACTTTTATTTCTAGCTAAGAAATGAGCAAAACCAGTTGTCCTATTTAACCTCAGCAGAATTTGTTTCTTACAGCTGAGCATTTTCAATCTCTTTGAAGAAGTCTCCAACCCAAAACACTGACATGTCTTGAGCCACACCGTCCTGCAAGCCAGAAGGCAAGTTGGAGACAGAAGTACAAGACTACATCACACCATCCATGTTCAAAGAGACAGGACAACTAAAGAGAAGTCTGCTTCTCCTTCTGCACAACCCTGACGTGTGTGTTTTGTGAGACTGCACAACACAAATCCAAAGGTTCTACTGTTAGTGCAGTGCATCAATGTTACCATCAACAGAAACGTGCAGAACGCATATGTTCTGTATAAAAAGATAGCAGACTGTTTATATGTAGCTTTTAAATTATTTTATTTTGTGTAAGCTAAAAGGAAATTTACACACTTAAATCTCAAAAGACCTTGGGCATGCACATCGACCTTTTTTAGAGGTTCTTCTACATAGCTCTCTTTTTTCCATAGGAATTTCCCCAGACATTTACAACCCATAGTTTTTTCTGTATATACAGCCTAAAACCATAGCAATCTATGATTATGTCATTTTACACTGTGCAAAATCAAACAGGAATAGTGGTACAACAGAACATAAAAATTTTTAACAGGTAAATTTCATTGTAAGACATTCATATAGTTTTGGTCCTTCTTTTCCAAATCAAACTGATTAAAAGCAGACAACCTTCTAATGACCCCAAAAAAATCAAGTGTTTAGACAGTGATCTATAACTGGAACAAGTTACAGACATCATACCTTTCAAAAGACAGAGCTGTACTATTGAAGTTTAAGAACATAAAATTGATCAGCCAACCAATCAAACTGGGGGAAGGGATAGGGAGAAGAAGAAAAGGAAAAACACATCTTAAGCTTGTTAAAATACTAAAGAAATTATTGGGTTTTAAAGAAACAACAATAACTGAAAACCCGCATAGGGACAATGTAACCTTTTGGTTTCTCCCAGCAATACGTATTTTAATATATGCAGGAAAGAAAAAGATGCTCAATGCAATCTGAAAACCTTTAAGGGGGACTTCACTGATTGTGAAGATCAAAGTTTTTATTTTTGAAAACCCGCATAGGGACAATGTAACCTTTTGGTTTCTCCCAGCAATACGTATTTTAATATATGCATGAAAGAAAAAGATGCTCAATGCAATCTGAAAACCTTTAAGGGGGACTTCACTGATTGTGAAGATCAAAGTTTTTATTTTGTGTTTCTAGGATTTTTTATTTTTTTTTAAACTTTTTAAATTTTTGTAAGAAGGACACCACCAGTGTATTTCACAAAGACATAAATGTATACACCCCAGCACAACAAAAAAGAATAGATCTTCAAAAAGATTTACCCCCAATTATTTACATTTTCTCTAATATAAATTTAGGACTCCAGTATGTAAATAAATATACATTACTATGTATACCTTTCTAGTGCTGCTTACCAACAAATCATCTGAACTTGATTTTTTTTTAATTAAAGCAAGATTGCTTTTTACGACCCACATTGGGAAGAAAAAAACCAAATCAATAGAAAACGTCCAATTCACATCACTTTAGTCTACCTTTTCTTGGCAGCTTGTTGAAGGTGTTAATGTGGCTGGGAACATCAACACCTTGGCATGCATGAAAGTTAAGTCAGGAAGGCTAGAAATCACCTTGGCAGCCTCTTCACTGAGATGTTCTTCCTTTTTAGATTTCCTGTTGAGAAGAAAAGAACAAAGTGCATTAAACCACTACCTGATATCCTTTGGATCACTGAAAACCCCACTGATTGAAGTCATGTTCTGGCAGTCTGTCTCCTATTGACAGGCACTTCTGTAAACTACATGATCATAGTCTTATGTTATATACCTACCTGCCTACCAACAAAATATTAACATAGAAAGTCAGCAAAATGTTCCTGAGTATTGTTACAAAGGAAAATATGAAGATTTCCCATTCAGATGCTAATTGTTTTATCTATTTCCCCTTTTTCTGAGCAGGCTCCAGCATTCCATTCTGGGACTAACTCACTTGAAGAAACAATCATGCCCATATTCTAGGGATAAGACAAAAGGAGCGTTAGCTATAGACTACCTAAATCCAGTATAATCTTTCAAAATAAAATGGAAAAATCTTGAAAGAACATTAAGAAGTTACTAAACATTTTACAAGAAAAATAAAGTAACTTATGTTTTGTTTACGACATGACCGTACATCATACAACTCTACATAGTGATCTACAGCCCCTTACTTCCCCTAGGGCTTATCAGCAGCAAAAGGTAGCTCCCAACTTGTAGCTACTTGCTTTGAAGTGCAGTAGTATGTGTAGCCATAATGACATACAAGAGTGTTTGGGAATCACTGGTGTTTACTTTGCCTTTTGCATTATTCACAAGAATTACTGAGCGCAAATGAATAAAGAGGTCTGAATCCCATGTCACTTGATTCTCACTATTATGCAAGAAAATCACATTTCCTAAGTAAAATGAAGACTGGCTCAGACTGCGACAGAAAACTCCCTTTCCCTGCCCAAACATACATACTTCACAAACATCTGGCTTATCTTTGAAGAATGCTGCCTATCACTAGAAATACTCAGGTTTTCCATCAAACATTATTCTGGTTCCAAAAAGGCACCTGATACACCCTGCAATGACATTCAAAATTCTAGCTAAACAAGCTTCCCTATCTTTGGGGCAAAAAACTGAGTCGAAAGGCTTGAACCAAACAAACTGCCTTTCCCTAGAACATTTCAGAAACTTCTTTTCTACATCTTGTCTTTGTTACAAACTTTAAACCGAGCCCACGAGAGGGTAATCACCACTCTGATCATGAAGCAGCCATGTACTTATATTTTATTTTGTCAGCACCCATCAGGATTGTTTCCTGAAGTGATCAGACATCAGGGAAAAACAAGGTGCTATATGTTTGCTTCAGCAGCAGTCTCAGAATTCTTAGCTAGGAGGAGAAGAAAAAAAGATCTGGAGTCAAACTCATCCTTGACATCAGTGATCATTGTGTTGACACTGAACTATCACTTTTGTTTGCTACTTGAAATCTCCACTTGATGAAAGATCTCTAGATGAGGCAGCCTAGATACTAAATCTGACTTTCCTTCACTACAATAGCAATATTTTCTTTTCTCTGCTGCAGTGGAATTTCATGAGCCACTGACTAGGCAGATTACCAAAACAAAGCTGTGTGCTGGATTTATTGAAGGAATAAGCAGAGAGCCAGTATGTGCCTTCTTCTCTAACAACTTCACAGTCAGGTCTGTTTGCACTCAAAGGACTATCTCTGAGCTGTTGAAATGTGGTTGTCACCCGCCACTGTGTTATCAGTATCTGGTGCCACTATTAGTAATCACTTACCACAAGCCTCTTAAAGGTACAAACTCCTGGTCATCAAGGACTTACAGCTAACAAAGGAGTGTTTGACAGAGGAAGCCAAAGGAAGAGGACTGACTCAGATCTGCATTAAAAGGAATTCCTGTAATTGTTAATCAGGCACTGAGATGGAGCTCACACACTCCTTGCTATTTATATGCTTCTTCCTCCTCTGCTCAGCTGTGGCATGCCAAAAAATTGCACTGCTGGGTCCCAGAGGCAGTGCTGCATCTTATTTGGTGGTCACAGGCAGGACCTTTATCACAGGACTATGCTATTGCTCTTGCTGTACTCACGGGTCTCTGCAACATCACCACAGAACATGCATACCAGTGAGCACAGTCAGATGGGAATCTCACCCCTTTACTGAATGCTCCCCTCCTGGCTGGAGGCCCTTTGCAATAATTTATCTACTTCATGTGCTCTGTAAAAAGTATCTATAAAGAAGGACAGGCTAGCACACTTAAACAACGATTGCTATGTAACTATAACCAGGTTACAGCTATAGATATAATAGCTTGATAAAGAGTCGCAAAACACTTAACATATTTTTCAAAATAATCTCAGTTCAGAAAGGAATAAGGCAGACTAAAATCTCCATTCCTCAATGGATAGGGGCAGTTTCCTCAGGAAGATAAAACTGGACACTGCTAGCATCCTTCCTGGGTAACCATCAGCACCTTGGTAGCAAACATCACCAGGGCAAACACTAAAGAGGTACTCACTAACTCTCTTAACTTAAAATACAAAGTAGCATCATCACATCAGACTGTTTTTACCCTTACAATGTACCAAATTGCCTAATAACTGTGATACCTTTTGATAGAAGCAAGAGAAAGAGCAATGTCAGCTGCATTACCTTCAGTCACCACTTTTGCTAAAGATGCTCCCCACTGTCAAGAGACTTGCTAAACTGTTGTTGTTGGGGGGAGAGGGGAGTGGGCATTACAGAGCTTCTACTCATGCACTCCTAATTGCTAGCTACCGTGGCTAACTGAACAGACACCCAAGTGGATTGTCAGTGGCAGCTGTACTACCTCTGTCTGCTTTGGAACTAGAACTTCTGAATACCAAATCATTAAAGGACCCAGCCCTGGGTCAAAACACAGCCCCTGCCTACTCAGGTCTTAAAACTACCTTTTAGAAAACACTGCCCACATCTACCTCTCTTTTTGCACCAGGCTACAGTTCCTACCAAGACAGAAGGGATGTCCTTACCCAAGCAAATAATTTCAAGGCCCTCTACCAGTTGGCATGAATTTTCCTTTTCAAAGGCATCTTAATGCTAAGCCACATGAAATTAGCCAGACTGACAGGGAGAAAAGTTGTTGGAAGAAAATTCAGCAAGAAATAGAGAATGCTCTGTTGATGCATCACTGACACCTCACTGCTCTGTTTTGCATTCCAGCCCCTGCAGTGTTCAAGTCTTTCAGGAATCTCAGTCATCACGTGTTTGCAAAGGGTTTTGCAGATAGCAGCAGCAAGGCCAGGCTCTAACAGCAACAATGAGTTGATTAGAGAAATGCACTTTAAAAATCACTCTGTAATTAAGAGTTAGCCTGCTCAATCCAACACCACCCACAAGAAGTAATTCCAGTTTAAATGAAGGTTTTAGCCATTTCTTGGAAAGGTACCAGTGCTCTGCTTTCCTTCAAAAAGACAGCAGATAAACTTTTGATCTCTGCCAATTCTTTGGAACCAGGCAAGGCTGCACAGTGTCTCTCAGCAGAATGCTGCACCAGATCCCTGACCTTCAATGCCTACTGTTGCCATCAAGGTTTCAGGCTCAAACTGAGGGGAGAGTTTCCTGTCCTCTCCCAGCATTCTCCTTAGAAACTGACTTCCCAGCTTTAAGTGGTTGCTTTGCAAGCAAAAGATGGGGCTATTTCAGACAAAGATGACTGTTCATATGGCTGAACAATACTATTTTCACTAAAGTTTAACCTCAATGATCCTGAGTTCAGACAAGTTACACACAGGCATAGAATAGCTGTAGCACAACTGAAGTTGACACTGGCCACATCTTCCCTAATCAGTTATCATGAGTGGCTAATAGGCCATATTTCTAGACTGGCACATGAATGTCTTCCTTGTTGAGCTGGCTGCACCCAGCCACTCCTATTTTAAAAGTCTCTGGTTCATTAAGAATTAAAAAAACAACAAACCTAATAAAAGAAAAACAGTTTTATTAGAAAAAGCTAGCATACTGCAACATACTTGGCATACTGCTGAGATAAGACCATCTCATATCTCTGAAGGTTTCTAGCTGAAAAAACACAACTTGAAATTTTTTAAATTCAGAGTTGACAAAAACATACAAAACGTATTGAACAGTGAAAAATGTTGCTTTAAAACAGCTAATTGTTACGTGTGTCTCAACTTAACTCTGAACACTGAGGTTTCCAGCCTCTTCCTACACCCCAATGTATAAGATCTAGAATATCTTCCTATCAGTAAACAATACTCTCCAGAATGGGGAAAGAACTTTTGACATCTAGATAAAAAGCTTCAGCAGCACAAGTAAGAGCTTTCAAAAGTGCACTGTGGAAGCATTGGAAAAAAACCCCACAATCCTCTCCTATCAAAAAAACAGCAATACAGAAAAAAATTAAGGTCAATACTAATTTAAGCAAAGCAGACTTCCTTGTTCCTTTGTAAAGAAAAAACACACAAGCAAGCAGGGACAAATCTATGAATGGAGCTAAAATAATTAATAAAGATACATTTGAAGTTTGTTTGTCCTGCTGTTTATTTGTGGTTACTTTTAAATTAGACTGAGAATATGTTACAAAAATATTTAAACTGTAACTATGTTTTATAATTAGTAAAAGTCAAACTTCCCCACTAGAGTATCTTCAGAAAGAGTATATGCATTCCATGAATAGAAAAATAGGCAATCCAAAAGCTGAGATGCAAAAATCAGGATTGAAGTGTGGAGTTCCCTCTGCTGGTTTTCCCTTGAAGTTTCATGGCTTGTTGGAACTTTTTTATTCCAGTATTCAATTTTAACACTTTCACTGCAGGAAACGGAGCAAGATAGTTTTCTCAATGAAAGAACATAATTTAAAAGAGCTCTTGATTATCATAGCTTTAGTAATTAAGAAAGCCAGCTATTACAAACTGCTACATTTGCTAAAGCTCTTCAACTGTGCCTCCCCTCCAAGCATGGAAACGCATCTAGTTTTAGAGTGCTGAACAAACTAAAGCTCACTTATGAACAAGAATATGTCACTATCTATTACTTGCAAAACAACTAATATTTTTTGCATGTTGAGGCATGCACTTCCTCAACAAAATAAACATTTTACATGGTGAAAATCACTCAGTGATACCTTTAACAGGCATACACATTAGTTACATGTTAAGATGGTCAAGGATCCTACTGCTAACATACACATTAAAAAAATAAACCCAAAGAACACAAGCTTATAAATGGAGAGACTATTCTGTACCCATTAAACAGGCCAGACTTCAAGGAATACACTAAAGGCCTTATATAGGTCCTACCTATTAAAAAAAAAAAAAGTACAAAAGAATATCATGGGCTCCATGAAGCAGAAGAGACATCCTGAATCAACCACACACTCATTCCTTAACTTGCAGCACCAAAAGGAAAATGATGTTTGGTCACTCAAGTTTTAACAGGTGCTAGAAATATATGAGAAGGGACAAATATTGTAATAATTGTTAGTCAGTTTAACCGTTTTACTTGTGACATTCCATATCTATAAATTACACAGAGGACCTAGGAGAGTCTTCTGTCCCTAAGCCCTAAGTCTCTGAACTGTGTGGTTCAGTTTAACCTTTCATTCTTAGGAATCCGCTCTGTTCTTTGGAAAGTTACTTTTTCTAGTTCAGTCTTTGACTCTAACATTTTTTAAGTCAGGTCCTGGTGATGGCCATCTTTCAGCTCATGAACTATTTCACATCTTATTTTAGAGTTATGATAATTTCAAATATGAATTGTAGTACTGTGAATTTTATATTTAAATTTAATTATTACATTTAAATCCTTTTGGTCATTCAATAACTTCTGACCTGAAGTAACACACACACTTACTCCTCACATTTCATGCTACCCTTAGACAAAGAAGAAAAAAGTGCAACAAAGAGTATCTACCTTGTGGACGTGCTTGCCTTCTCCACTGTGGACATGAGTCTTGCAAACGCATCAGTCACTCTGTTGCTTGCATTGGAAGTTTCCAGTTTTGAGGTGGTCAATTCATACAACTCAGGGTCCACACCTTATAGTATAAAATTATAATCAGTGATTGTTGGAGGGAAACACAGCCATCATTAGCCACAGAACAACTTGTAAGAGACTGGTTTCTGTAAACATCTGAATCATTTATAATTTCAAGATACATGAAAATAACATGACAGAACACGTCTCTGTTCCTGGAACACTGTCCTCCCTCCGCACCCTTCTTCAGTAGCTTTTACAGCTGTACTAAACACATGTTGGATCAAGTCTGGCATACAAGGTCTCAGTCTAAGAGTAAACAAAACAAATTTCATTAACCTTTTAGAGTAAAACACCTGTAAAAATGTCAGCTGTGTTAAAGTGGATTGTTTCAATTACTTCAAATCACCTGTTTGTAATAAGAGAGTGCTGCTTGTTAACAGGGACCAAGTCCTGAACAAGAGATTACACACAACACTGGCATGCATTAGAGTGCATTTAGTATCTTGCTTTCCACAACACACTATGCTAAAAAGAATTTAAGTGAGGAAAAGCAGCTTTAATGATACATACAAGTGGAATGGCATTGAACAAATTACATACTGATATGCATAATGTCACTGAAACCTCTAGTCTATCCTCCCTTTTAATCTTTCAAGTATTTATAAAGCATCAAGTATCTGGATGTTTCAGCCTTGGTTTCTTAACTTCAGGCATCTTAACTCAGATGCTAAATTTTGACATCATGTATGTTACAAATGGATTTCAAATGTTACCAGCAGGAGTAGTTCTGAAAACAATGCAAACGATGGAAACCTGCATACAAAAAACCCAACATAGGTATGGGTGAAATTCTGCCTGCTTAATATAAAACATTATATCTTGGTAGCAAGTAGCCCTAGAATTTCCAGATATTAAGTAGGCTTTCTTTAAAAAAGTCTCAAGGAATCAGAATTATCAAAATAAATTCAGCTGATAAGACTATTGCAATACATTTTGTTGCTCAGAAGCATTTTAAATTGCTGATATTCCTCTAGTTGGTTTCAGCTATTTTATGTCTCATGGTTTTAAATGAAGTGGACATATGCATCATTAAAAAGTATATTTTTTTTCCAAAAACAGCATAGAATTTTTTGTCCAGAAGCATCATGTTTTACAGACACCTGTGTTCTAAACAAGCATAACACGAGTGCCAGCTGGTGTGGATGACAGAGGCATTTCATAGTACTGCAGAACAAACACTGCAAATACTTGGACATGATGGTCCCATATAACTACCCAATATAAAACCAGCATTTCTGATCTGTTGTACTGATGCTTTTACCCAGTTTATTTGCCTGGATCAAGACACTTTCAGAAGTACTCATGAAATACCAAAAGATGACTAAATTTAAAAAAATGCCTGTGCCTATAGACTTGCCTTTTCCACTCAGTAACTGCAGTACTTTGTGAACTAACAGATGAGGTTAATAACCCTCATGCCTGCTTTGCATGGACACTCCCTGAGCAGCGCCTTGAGTATTCCTCAGTTGTGCACAAGTTTACCTTTTCATTGTTAGGAAACTAAGCCAACCAAAAAAGTAAAAACAAGAAAATCATCTGGTTAAGCTGCAGGAGCCGAAGATTTGCTCCTTTTAATGAGTTGATTAGAAGTTAATCAGTTCCAACCTAGATTTTTTAAGTCTGGATTTTCCAAGTTTATTTCACCCAATTTAACGCAAAACAGCAAAATATATGCTGTCCTGAGACCAGTATACCAAAACTGTAAGTAGTGTCAGATGTTTACAGAACTTGAAATAGGAAAAAACCCAGCTACTCCATAAAATATCCACTTTCAAACAGGAAGAGGAAGACTTGAAGAAATACACTTTGACTTGCAGAAGCCTGCGAAATCCCATTAAGGTACAATTTTAAAACTATTAGAATCAAGGAGTCCTTTGACATGCAACTCTGAAACAAATGCTAAATGCAGCCTTGTAAGTTACATCGTTTAAATATTCACATTTACAGTCTTGAATTCATTTTCATTGTACTGTGATGTCACTGCTCAGTTTACTGTTCTTTAGGCACCTCTTACTCAGCTATATTTATGTTAAACTATCAACAGGCAAAATAAAGCAATACACTAAATCTGTGGGAACATACTAGAAATGAGTAACTCCCTGTTCGTGATGTAGAATGCAAATTTTCATAGGAAGTGATTTTGACTACTGATGAAATCAAGCTGAGAAGAATATAGTGTAGATCTGTCCTACAAAAAATTAAGGTCTTCAGAGAAAGAGCAAACTTCTATTAGTACTAAAAGTTTCTTCTTTAAGCCAAAAGATTTAAAATTTTGTCTTTCAATTGTTTTAGTTATTTTTAAGAGTTGCATATTCTTCATTTTATTCAAGTGATTAGAGATTACTTAAGGGAAGCAGTGCAAAACCTTAATGAGATATTGAAGGGAAGTTAGCCAACCAAACCCCACACAAAGCTCCTAAACACACACACAAACACACGAGCTGCAAGCCAAGAAACAAATTACTTTCCCAGAAACAAGTCAGGAGGAAAGAAAAGCCAAAACAAACAAAAAAACCCCCAAAACAACAACAACAACAAAAAGGCACTATAGGGCATACCAGGGACAGTGATTATACCTGTAACTTGATGAAACAATAACATGAAACAAACAATGCAATAAAAGGCTAAGAGAGCATCCCTCCAGTAATCACTTCAAGTGTGCACAGTGTGAGGACACAAGAATGTACCCGTCTGCAGGAGCAGTACATGCCCTGGGTACTGATGACTTCTATGTTAATAGACTTGCACACACTTACAAAAGAATCTGTAAGACTGAAGTACCTTGAATTTGCTACCTATGGCTTTCACAACAAAGCTGCTATCTTTTATCTGATAACAACATTTCTCAAGGGTGGGGGGAAAAAAAAAAAGGACATTTGGAATGTGATGCCTCAAAACTGCCTTCAATGATCACATTACAAATAAAAAAGCAGGTTTTTTTAAGAACAAGAAATACAATAATAATTTTAAGTAGTTATTTGAGATGTGGGAAAACCTCAAACGTCTTAAAAATTGATTTTTTAAAAAATTAAAATCACTAAGAGGGAAAAAAAAACCCCTTCCTATAGAGAAAGTGATTATCATGGCTTCAGGCATTGTATTGAAATACAATAAACATTGAAAGAACGTGTCTTATCTACTTAACCTATGCACGGGAAAAATCCCCCAAATGTTCCCTTAACCTTCTGCAGAAATTTATTTTAAGTGAAGGTTTTCAGAAGCTCGTGCAAAATAGTCAGAGCATGTAAAAGACACATGATAAATTAAATTACTTTCATGTATTATTCAATGGATAAGTTGGTATTTCCATCTCCTTTTTAAGGGAGTAAATTGCAGTGCTTTGGTTGTACAATTAAGGTTCATGAACTTCTAATGTCCCACAAACATGCAACTATCTTTGCTTTTTATTATGAATGTTGTTAAAACACTTATTCCACTTCATCACAAAAGGAAAAAGTTTACAACCTCCTGGTAGCAGCCAACACCAGCAGGGTTATGTGTTAAGCCTCTTAACTTCATATTCATACGTAACTTCCAAATAACACCATAATTTTATAAGTTAAGAGACATTCTTTCAGAGGAGAGCACAAGCCTCATTTTTTGGGCGTTGTCACATCTCCAGCAATTTTCAATTTTTCGTAAGTGTTTAGAAAAGTTAACTTTAAACATTTCTCTTTTGGAACAAGCGTTTTAACATCTTATTTGCAAGAGCGTAAGAGCCATTCATTCCTTCAGCATGTGACGAATGCAGAGCTGACAGTACCTTTGAAATACTTGGCACTTGATACAAAACATCAGAAAACAGAACACAGATTAAAGGAAAAATGCAGGAGAAAGACATCTTAGAGAAACACACTGTAAAATTTCTCCTTGTTTATAGGAAAGTCAAGTGATGTGCTCATGCTTTTTAGTAAGTTGTTATTACTATTACATTTGTGGTTTTAACACTCTGCTGACCTGGGATTGTGGTGGTGCTGCTAGAGCTACTGTCATCCACGGGCCCAAAGAAATCAAGGTTCAGAAGAGTGGAACCTCCACTAGCTTGAAATTCAGTGACCGTGTTGGTAGGCAGCCATATAGAAGGTAAGCCAAGGGAGGGGTTTATGTGTAAAAAGGGGTAAGACACACACTTGAACATGCAAGTTATAATTAGTACTCAGTACGCAATTTAAAAATTGACATGTAAACAATGCTTACAGTATTAGTTTGTACCTTCTAAAATGTTAACAACTTAATTCAGTGCACATTTCCTCATGTACAATGCAGCCAGGAAATCAACACTAGTAACTTTAAAATAGATATATTTATTTCAATCTAAAATGAAAGAGAACCAGCACGACCCAGAGAAAAAGATGTGATCACTTAAAGGGAAACAATATATAGGTCAATTAATACTTAGAATACAGCAGGCTTTTTCTCCCCTCACTAAAATTGAAAGCTATTCTTTCATCAGACTCAGCAGATCCCCAAATAGCCAACAACAACAACAAAAAACAAACCCCAAAAAACCCCCAAACCAAAACAACTTTAAAGTTTTATTTAGCAGCTTTAAGCTATTGATTATAATTATCTTAAGTAAGTGTTAATACAGGGTAACAAATGCCACTCTTCCTCACTGGTCAATTATACTGTTCCCCTTTAGTACTAAATCAGAAATCAAACCAAGATACATTTTAAAGAAGTTGTTTGTTAAAAAGAAATCATGATGATTGACTGAAGTAATAAGACACCAGACAACAGCAAAAGGGTCCATCCAGGCTTTCCTTCAGCACCATGATATTGCTATCCAAACTTTTAATCCCACATGTTCTGAAACAACCCCATGAGGGAACACCAGTGAAGTAAGACATCCAGTTTATTTTAGCCTGCTTTTAACAATTAGTGTTACAAGTTAATTGCTGTTAACAGGCTCCTCATAAAGGTATCAGTTTCTTTACAGGTTTCCAGTCTGTCAATCAAACAAGTTTCTAAAACTTGTTTTATTTCCTTTGCATGCACTTACATTTCTGAGACTTGAAGTGGTGGCACAACTCACTTTGCTATTAAAATAGATAGAGATGAAGGATTTTTTAAATGTGATTACTATATACATTTACAGATACAAATAAGTTCATAGCTACCTCTTTAATAGATTAGCTATAATGAGCTCAAATGTAAGCAAAGTTGGTGACAGATGAAGTCACATTTTTGAAATACAAAATTATCGGTAAACCCGAAAACTTTCAGCTCAAGAAGTGTATCTTTTGCAAACAGTTTGTGGTTAAAATATTGTGCTTTGAAGTAGCCACTATACACAAGTTTGTCATTCAAAGGATGTCTGAAGAGATAGTTCATTGGTGAAAAATACTTTTAAGAACCCATCACCCTAAAATGCTCATTTGTTCAGAGTTTCATTATAATCTGCAGTTATACATAATGAACTGTTAATATTGCCACCGTGTCATTAGCAAATGGCAGAAATTAAAAAGAATACTTAACTTAGTATTTTTCAGACTACATAATATTTCACATAGGGGCACAGTTAATCAGAAAGAAAGCCTGAATTTCCAAAGTTAGAAGTAAGAAATAAATATTATATATATTTTATATATGTGTGTGTGTGCGTGTATATTTAAAAAAAATAATCAGCAGATAGATGTTTGTCTGAACTTTGTAGCTTTCTTATCTCTAGCTCTGGTGCTAGAGGCTCTACGGAGAGACGTACCATCTAAAGGGTTAGTAAGGCCACTGCTACTCCAGTCAAACTGGACAGGTGGTAGAGATTCCTAGAGTTGAAAAGTCAGAAATCAGATTTTATAGTCAGTTCAGGTTACAACAATGCAAAGCAGTTCAAACAACAGATTCTTTAGCATCTAAATACTAAAAAGACAACTCTGGGGAAGCACGAATTTTCAAAATATACACTAAAGATCCTAAGTAGATTTGTTCTACCATAGGAAATCTAATTAAATTCTGAACAATAGAGATGTGTTAACTTCTAACTCAAGCAAGATTTGCAAATTAACAAAACATGGATGGAATTAAAAAAACCCAACAAATCCCTAAAATAGTTGAAAGTTAAACTACTATTACTTCCATAGAAGGTGAAGCATTTTGCATAGAAAGTTATGTATACACAATTATAGGGCAAATTTAGAATAGTTACTAGTGAAAGCTGTCTGTACAGCCGTGCCTTGTCCTGATTAGATATAAAATCAGTTATTTACCATCACATGGCCCATGCGTGTTTTGGGTTTTTTTTTGCTTCTAAGAGACAAGCACGACATGTGAGGGACAGATTATCAATACCCTCCCCACATCATACCCTTTACAAATTTTTTAAAATCCTGTGACAATTTATCCTCTAACAATTAACTCATTATGTAAACAAACCATTGGTAACAATGCTTGAACAAGAGAAGCACGGAAACACTGACTCCTGGGAGCTCATCCTTGCCTTTTTATTTCCTCTTATTAAGTCTTTTGTGCACACAGGTAAATCAACCAAGCACCAGGAATCATGCTTTACAGGGAAGGTGTGTTCAGGTGCAGTGTAAATTGCAAGTGCTGTCCTCCTGTATTCTCAGGACACAAACAGGTAGGACAGTACCAGAAATGTCTGAAATAAACGGATCTTTCTACTTCCACACATTACATTTCTGCTCTCTGCATAGTGAAGGCCACTGTCAAGAAGCACCGAGGAAGTATGTGCCTTCAAGTTTTAAAACAACCACTCTCCTGGGAGAAAAGCAATTGAAGTTCTCTGCACCATTATTCAAAATGCTTCACTACCTGCCAGGCTTCCAGTGGCTGAGACATACCTTCTCCTTGCTTTTGTAGGAAGTCGGGCTTTATTGATATTTTAAAAAAACTTCAAAAACTTTCAACTATCCAACACTGAAAAAAATATGAAGAATCACCAGTCAAGACTGTAGCAGCCTGAGCCAGCTTTGTACAATTAAGCTAACTGAAAGAGGCTTTTGCTAGGTGATAGATGTTTACAGAAAGAAAAATTAAGATTGTTGGAGATTTCTGTATTTACTTATAGTAAACACCTTGCCTAGAAAAATCTTTCCTACCTAATGCCTTGGAAATATTTCCAGTACCGACCACGACTAGAAGGGCATTCACTCCATGGAGCTTAAGGAGCTGATGCTACACTTTTTACTTCGCTTCGGTAATGAAATTACTTGCATTGAAGAGATTTGCATGGAAACAGTGTTAGCAGTGTGAAAGCTACACTTGATGAAGTAATGATCACTATCATTTATAGCTTCTTTAAAGTTTGTCACATCTAAAATATAGTAACATTAAAAGGGGGTTGTACAAAAAAAGAAAAAAAAAAAAAAGGCATTGAGCATGAGAATTTAGTACCTTTCTGCCCTGAACTAAATGAACTAAAATTGAAAGTAGCTTCTAACCAACTCTCTTACTGAGGAAAACACCCATTACATTTTGTGTCAAAAGACTGAGTCAGGACTGGTGAATATGACAGAATTGCACAGAAAAGGTGGGATCAAAAGCTGTCTAAGTTTTTCCCTCTAATGATGACTTAATTCACAAATTTGGCAAGGAGAGGACAAAGGACATGATGAATTCTTCCTAAAATAGGAAAAAAAAAATCTGACTTCAAATCAGTAAGAGTATACAAAGTATATTAGTCTTCTCTGTGGGATGAGGTCATCTTGCTGACTCCAACCCCTTCTAAGAGAGGGAGGTGGCAAGTAAAGCAGATCCTGTCTATACAGGATACTGGCAAGCCTATGTCTATACAACAAAAAATAAAGTAAAAGGAGAGGGTACAGGCAAAAGCCAATTAAACAGAAAGGAAAAGCTTTCTGTTCCTAGTGACCTCAGCCCTGAAAAACCTGTGATGCCTGAACACAGCACTGAAATCCCAGACACTGGGAACATGCTCTGCAAATAGAAATATGTTTTGTCTTTTGAAGACTGCAAGGTTGCTAGACTACTGCATTTACAACCATTACTATAATAACATGCTTTAAAGAAAAGTGCTCGATCTAGAAGAATACTGATAATTGGGGCGAAATGCTCTCACTCCTTCCTCCATCTTAGATTACAGGACATGGTACAGAAATGAAGAAGTATACTCAGCTGTCAGAGTACTACTCTGAATGTTAAGGAAGTAAGAAAGAGGAAACTAAAATGCCTGCTGGTTTTACTGCATCATATTTCACTTTTCTCAAAGTGAAACATGTTTTCACACAGTAATTTTAGAATGTTATCATGTAAGAGCTTTTCTAATTCAAAGGAGTAAAATGTAAATGTTTGTCTCTGTGCCAGTAAGTACTGAAGGAAAATTTAACAGAGGAAAAAAAAAAGGAAGCATTTTGCTGTCTTAAAGCTGGGGGGAAAAGTAGAAAGGATATATAATACATATAACAACAATATTTAGATAGACCCCACAAATAAGCATCATAAATGCCCCAGAAAAAGACTTCACAAGGAAGTAATTAATTTTTTTTCTGTGTATTTGTTGGCAAAATTACTACAGTTCTGAAAATTATTATTCTCACACACCACCTCAAAGCCATGGTCACATCTTATAGAAAGTCCTGTAATCTCTTACCTGCAAATCTTTTTCTCTTACTCTGTCAAAAAACTATGTACATTGTTGGATCTTTCTCATATGTATAACTGGAGAGCAGTTCCATGATGGAGCCTTTGGCTGGTGGCCAATAATATGGTAGTTTGCATCTGTCATTGTTAAAAGTCCTGATGGTCCCTTATGTAATTAAAAGTGTTTTTGAAGTCTGTCACCCCATGGGGTTTAATTAAGGTTCAGTGCCTAACAGACAGCAAGTGTAAGATACATATTTCTGTTATAACCTGATCTCTAATTCGGTGGCTTACATGCATGCAGGTGTGCTGTAATGGGCACCTGCAGAATACAATTACTGGCAATTTTCTTTTAGAATGGTCTGGGTCACTGTAGGTTTCTATTCCAATATAAAACCTACTAAGCAAAACCAGACAGGTAAGAAATCCCAAATTTATCGTCTATGCTGGGCCAAAGCTACCACTAGAATCTAGCAAAGAAATATAGTCACAAACAGAAAGAAGATAATGCTTTGAAGCAATAGCAAAAGAGCAGATGTATCTAGACAACTTCTTGCAAGAAAGTCAAAGAGACGTAGGTAAAACTTTAAAAGATGTCAACCAGAGAAAAGTATCAAATCAGAAGAAAGTAGTCAACACTAAGTCCAGACAGCAACCATTTTAATAAGCACCGGAATATATTTTAACTACACTGCCTGAAGACTTAGCCATGGTGCAGAAGTTCACTGCAGCAGATGCTGAAAAAACCCCAAACACAAACAAAATCAAACACCAAAACAAACAAAAAAACAAACCAAACTGCCCCAAACCAACCAACCAACAAACCCAATCAAACCGAAGAGTAGAGCAGGGTATTTGTCTTGGTTTTCACAGTCAAAGTTTGCCTATTTGAGCAACACCCAGTGTGCCTTGATAGAGCCTTTTACTTCAGACTGTGTAGTCTTTGAGACCACCATGCTTAGATAAAGGCAACAGTAATCAGGGGATTGTCTCATATTCTGTTTGCTGCCTTACTTATGAGCACAGAGGAACTGAGAAATAAAACCCCCAATTGTCAAGAAAAACAACAGATCAAAGAACTTAGAAACTACCTTCAAATAGAAAACGGAATGAGCCTTAAAAAGTTATCTTTATGCAATAAACTAATCTGGTAAGTCAGTCAGCAACTTAACTTGGAGAGAAAAAATGATAATCTCAAAAATCTTGTCCTTACAGCTTAAATGACTCAGATGGAAATTTGTCCACTCTATTTCCACAGCCTAACCAACCTAGCAAGATCCTCTGCAGGGAATGAGGCCAAGACATACGGAGTTTATATAATAACTAGGAAAAATTATAGCAACTCCTTTGCTGCTTTTGTCCTCTCATTCTTTTGATTTCTAATGCTCTCTATTTTAAATCTCTGCATGCTTTCCTCCATTTGCATACAACCAAAAAACTAAGGAGGCATTTCTGTATTTTTTTAATCAATGTTCCTCCCACTCCCACTTTTGCATCAGCAGTCTTTCTTCCAAAATCTTATTCCCTCAACAGGAAGTCACACACACAGAGGCACAGATCTGTACACAAATACCCATAAATACCAGGATTTCAACAAAGGAGAACTCTTTTTTTTCTTTAAGCAAAGCATAGGAATTTATTAACCAGAGCCTCTCCTTCCAATAAAAAAGCCAATATTCTGAGGTTTTTGAGTATAATGACCCATCATCAGCAGTATCTGAAAATGGAGAAATGTATAAGTTTTAATTGAACAATTGCACATTAACTGGGTAAGCTTAAACGTACCTCAATTGTTGCACCTATATAACTTGTGTTTAGAATAAAAAGTTTCAGGGTCCACTCAAATAGCCTATCTTGCCATTGCATATTTATCTACGTCTACAGCACAGTTCCTAATAAAATATTTGGGCACATCATCTTAATACCACTACACCTGGGAATACACCTAAGAGGCAGTCTGCATAATGTGAAGTGAAGCTGGGTTTCCCCCAAAAGAAAACAGAGGCCACAAAACATTAACAGAAGATGAGGCCAAAAGAGAAACAAGATCTCTGAGGTGGAGAATTGATCATTCAGGCCCTGAAACTTTGAGTGTCACTTAACTTTTGCCTCTTAGCACTCTTAATAGCTAGAGTTCCAACCTCTAACTTATCTCTTCCCTAAGAACTTATTTCAGTATCTTTCTTTTTGGGAAAAAAATAACCTAAGGCCAGGAGTACAGACAGATGGCATAGAAGCTTCTTGTATGTATACTTAAAAGTACCTAATCAGAAGTCACAAGTGTAGCAGGTAACTAAAGATGCTGGGCAGACTGGACAAGACCTGCACTAAGAAAGGACACAGCTGATTCTCTGAATACATGCCAAGTACCACTGAAAATTAAATGTCTCTGCATATTCCATTAGCTTGTTGATAACCACACACATTGCAACATGCATGGCCTTAAAGTGGTTTCCTAATATAACAACAAAAAACCAACAATAATACAGAATTAATGAAATTCAAAAGATCACTCCTGATCTCCTCTGAATTCATTTTGTATCAGACTTAAAAGACAGAAAAGCCAGTGAAGCAACTTCCTGTTCAACAGATAATTATTTAATAGAATTTAATGCAAAGGGCCAACAGAACTCATACAATCAAAAAGTCAGGCACCTATGCTAGCTGTGTTTGTACCCAGAATCTCTTTCCAGGCAGCTGGGCTGCTTTCCATTTTACTCTGAAAAAGACAGGAAAGAGATTAAGTAAAAGGACATGAACAGTGTACATGTAAGTACTGTAACTCAGAAAAAGAAGTGCTACCTAACAGGTAGAATAAGCTCCAGAAAAAGCAAAGATGAAGTCAGAGAAAGGACATGTCTAAAGCTATATCTAAAATCTGTGGAATTAGCTGTACACTGCCTTTAAAACAAATTGCTGTATAACAGTAGGTATCATCAGGATTCTTAAATGCTGGCCACCAACTGCTACTGTCTCATTGTAGGGACTCCCTTCCAGTCACACATGGAAAACAGATCCAAGAGAAGGACTTCAATCTGACACAAGGAACCCCGCCCTTCAAATACAGGTGTCTTTGAACACATCATCTAAATATATCAATTATATAGACACAAGGCATCCCATTGTTTCCCTCATTCTGTCTTTTCCCGTTCTTCCCCTTCTCTATTTTTTTACCTGGAACTGATCAGATGTACACGTGCTCATCTCTGGTGATACAGGAGGTGTCTGTCCTATTGAAGCTATTTTTTCCGCCGCAGATATTGGTTTCAAAGGTTCCTTGGTAGGCTCTAACATACCCTAAATAAATAAATAAAACCCCAGTAATAATAATAGAAAAAGCCCCACACTCCCACAGACACACACACATATTTATTGCAAAAACTGCAGACATAAAAAAAAATTAAGAAAACACACAACTAGGTAGTACTACTCTCAACTAGGGCCTTGGGAGATACCATATATCTCCGGGACACTTTCAGTGAGGCAGGCTAGGAGATGGGGCAGGGGAGAGAATTATCCTGGTTCCTTAGACTTAAGAAACAGTTTAGAGCCAATAACAGAAACCTAAGTGCTTAGCTGGAGCTTGCTTTCAACAATGTAATTTAAGCTGGAGGAAACAGTTACTTGATAAAGTGCTGTCTTCTCCTCCCAGTTGTGTGTAGACTATTCCAGAAATATCAAATGGCCCATCAGAAAGCTACAATTACATTAATTCCATTTAAACAGCTAAGTAATTCAGAAGAAACAAGTCAAATTACCAGTTTGCAGACTGATAAAGAACAAATATTGACATAAAAAATAAATGCATTAAGAAGCATTAATTAAACCCACATTTTTAATTTTAAACAAATAGTTCAAAGATAGACAGTCCTACAAAAAATGTCTGAATTCGCTGGTGTTCCTCAGTAAAACTGAGGGTGAGAGCAATCTACAGAAATACCAAAGTTCACACTGAAACATGAAAACCACCTCAGAAAAGTAAGGTATGAGAAAAGAAACCCCCAAATAAACCCACTGGATTTGCAACTAATGTATTTCAAGATAACTGCAGGAATTCAGCCAGCCAGGTCATATATCACACTAATGTTTCTACACGATGTTAGGGGAGCTCAGCATTTAACCATCAGTTAAATAAATTATTTTGGACAGCAGAAAAACACATGAAGCAGTGTGGCAACAGAAAGCAGCAAGCTTTACTCCTACCATCACCTCCATCCATCTTAAATGTATGCACAAGTGTATAAAGATTTTAGGTGATAATTAATCAGCAACAACAACCTGCTGCAAAAAATAACTGCACATGTTGCATACAAACAAACTCGCTCACAAAGACACGACAGGAAGAAAATGGCAATTCATAGAATCAAAGAATAGTTAAGGTTGGAATCATCAGGATCCAATCTCCCTGCTATTAGCAGAAATGTTTAATCTCTCCATCAGAACACCATGCTTACATCCTAAGAAGTTCACGAGCTGACCTTGATGCCACAGAAAACAACAGCTCTAGAAACTGACTGTAGAAGTCACTCTACAAAATTGATCTAGAGCTTAAATTGGATTAATATATGCCAAAGAAAGCTGCAATAATATTACATTATATTTGTGAATGACTGTATCAAAGTGTGTGTTTGTATGTGTGTGTGTATATAAGTTCCCCCCCAAAAAGAGTGTATTTGTTCTGCTCAGACTAGCAAAAATGGCAACTCTTATCTTCTGAATGTTTTTACTACTACAGACATCACACAGAGTCTGAAATGACAAACAGGAATTACAGAATATCGGCTTAAGAAAAAAACAGTTAATCTTATTGCACTAGGTTACTTGAGTTCCTTCCAATCCACAGAAATCTAAATTATGCTTTCTATTTTTATCTAGCACTTGGGGCAACAAAAGAATACTGGTTATACAATGCTTTTTGTACAAACAAGAATCTTTTATATATACGTGCCTCCTTTATTAATATGCCAATAACACTGCAAAGCATTACTATACATCTCTCTTGACCTAGGGGTATTGAGAGGCAATCAAGTTTATTAATGAAGTGTCTGTCAGAGGAACAGTTGCACAAAGAGGAATGCTTGAGAGAGCTGAGAAAACTTCCTACACACACTTCATGGAATACTGTTAACTATCCAGCAGTTCTTAACCTTTCTTTGAAGTATCTGGTCTTAGTGACAGGGTTTCCCACAAGTGCTGATGCAGATCAACATTTTGATTAAATTCTACATTCCTTTGTCATTTTAGACAACTATTTAACAATCTAGTTTCTTGTGTCAAGTTTTAGTTGACATTTTTACATCTATACATTATCTTTAATAGTTAAAATTAAACAAGAACTTTTTATTGCTGCATGCACATTAATACATTACTTAAATTTTTTTTTTTAGAAAATGCCTCAAACTGAGCTTAACTAGTTATCCTACCTTATTAAATAGTTTGCTATATGAAGAGAGTAAATCAATACTTTTAAAATTTAAAATAAAGTATCTGTTTGAACATATAATGAAAATTGTGTATTTGATAATTCTTTTCTAGTATTTCTACTGATGCCTAAGCCACAACCATACTTGCAAAAATAGCTTTCAGCACACTTAATGCTTAATGTAATTTAATATATTTTAGCAAGCTGTTGGAACTACAACAAAAATATAACACTAACAAAAGCTTACCAGTCCTGCTGCATACATGGGTACTATAACAGGCTGTTTCTTGTTGCCTGTAAAGAGCTGATAAAACAACAAAAATATTTACTTAAGAGTTTCTGTGTCAGTGACAATGGTATTTTTTCAATGTTACATACCTCATACAAGATTAATACCAGGGAGTAAATACTATGTTAAATGTAACATAATTATTAAAAACTAATGCAACTTTTAATATTAACAGGGCTTATAAAAAGTTGTCAAACAGTTTGTCACAAAAAGCTGTGTTCAGTTCAGCTATGCAATTAAGAGACAAGCATTCAAACAAAATGAATCCCACCTGATTCTACATTTAAAGCAGCTCCATTATTCAGAAAGCAAGTTTTATTGACAGACTCACAATATTTCTTGTGTCGATTCCCAAGGAGCACAAAAGCTTTTTGTTGCTGTGGGAGCCACCCCACTGGTATCTCAGTCCATACGCATCATGGATATCCTGCAGCTCTGTCCACACGTCCATCAGTTCCCTACATAATCCATCATAAATCAAATTATCAACAGGAATAACAGCTTAGCAGCCTTGAATATTTATTCTAGTTTTTAATACAAGTGAGTTATTATATATTCCAGTTAAGCTTACACCCAAGCACAACACCCAGGGGGACTAAAACTGCAGTGTTCTCAGAACAATTATAGGTCAAACTTATAATCGGAAAACAATGTCCGCAGCAGACAGGACAAGGCCTACTTAAACTTCATCATCACATGAATCAATCTAGCAATTTAAAGCAAGTGTAACTAATAAGACCTAGTCTGATTAACTCTAAGACATCATTTAAAAGAAGATGATACACTGTTGACTAAGTTGATACGCTGAACAAGTGAAATACTCCTGGTATACTTATTCACTAAAAACAAGCATTCTGGTAGATATTTTGCTCTGTGGTTTTTCAATATACTTGAAGCAAACAACTAGTTTAAAATTACTGCTTCATGTTTTAAGTTCCCAAAGATGACATGCTTCTGCTTCATTTAAAGTTAATGGCTTCTTACCCAGTATTTGCTAAGGTCTCCTCAGCTGTCTTCTGCTTTTGAACTGCTTCCAATAAATGATTCAAGGAACTTATTTCTTCTTCAACTTCAACGACAGGCATGGAAGGAAAACAGACTTCAAATATTCGTTCCAGACGACTTTGCAATGTTGTCTATATAAAAAATAAAAATATTTATGGTTTTGGTAGCTGCTTTAAAATTATAAAAATAAATTGAGATGGAAAACAGTACATAGTTGATACAAAGCTTCACTTACCACAAAATCTGTAACTACCAGAGGATCACGAGACTTTTTATAAGCATTCAAATACAGGGTGCTAGCTATTGAGAAACAGTAAGGATCTTGCTCTCTGCAAAGTGAATTTACAACAGAAAAGTCCAGGACAGTTCTTACCAGATTCCCTCTTTGCTATAAATTAGCAGAAAATATGTGCAATAACTATTAAACACATCTTAAGTCAATGTAGTGTAAGTGTCTAAATCTACACATGCTAAAGGTTTTACTGAACACTTTTATAGCAAGCTTGGCACTGAACTGTATCATTTCACTTAATGACAACACACTTCAAACTTGAGACATAACACTGATTCAGAAGACAGCTTCACTTAAGCTGTATGCACCTGAAGGTCTCACAAAACAACCCAATGTGTAACCTGCTCATAGTTTGGTAATAAATTTGAAAATAGTACAGAAAAACTACTTCTAGTCCAAAGACTGCACACTTCCTAAAAAACTGCTAGTATCAATTATATAGGTGTATGAAAACTTGCTACAGTTCAGGTGAGTCAGGTATAATACAGAAGACCCAAGATTAAGGCATTTAACTATATTGTTTGTCAAAAAGTACTTGTAAGATTTGTTTGGTACTTCTCCAGACCAAAAAACAAATATGAAAAAGAATAATTACTTCATGTCTTAATTTCTTGCCCCCAACATAATTTGTGTGTTTAATTTATATAGAATAATTACTTTCCTCCAAGCAACATCCCTTTCCCTCCCCATTCATGATTCCTGCAAGGGTTAAAAGGCAACCTTGGGAACATACCTATCCAAGCCAAATAACTTAGAAAACAACTGAAGTCCCCACTAAGTTTTTTGCCAAGCAAAGAGCCAGCTAGATAGCAACATAGTTTGCATAACCACAACTTTATCTCTGTTACTTTTGTCCGACCTTCTTCTGCTGCCTTACATTATAAACTCACACCAAGGGTATGTAAATATAAACACTCAGAAGTTTTGCAGGAGGGCTATGGATCTGTATGCCATGGTTTCAAGAGATAAGGCAGGATTTCCTGCTTGTCACAGTAGTTCCAACTGTGTCTTTATGTTGCCATCATTTCAGTGTCCCTTGAAAGGAACTTCAGTATCTGGGGAAGGCAAACTGGCTTTTTTTCATAACAGAGCAAATGGACTCCTGCTTTTCTCTTTCCCAGTGCCATGATCACTGCTGTTGGGTAGGATAAGGTCTCAGCAATACATACAGCACACATTGGTACTTGTGGTTTCCAGGCATTTTAATTACACAGCATGCACTGGAGAATGCTCCTATTCTTGCCACTTGGGCCTTGGCAGATGGATTTAATATTAAAAATAAAATCCCTCAAAAAACCTCCCACCCCCACAAAACAAAAAAACAACTTTATTTCCTTTTACAAGTATATTATGTTTTCTTCTTTTTACGTGCTTCCCTTACATTTCTGTCTCTTCTCCGTTTTATTTCCATATAGACAAAGAATTTCAATTTTATTAGCGCTCTGTGAACTCTCTCAGACATCACCTGTACGACTGACATGAAACAATTGTTTTCCCCAGTTCAACACACTGAAAACACGTAACCAGCAATCTCTTAACATTTATTAAAAAGTACCAGTTGCAAAGTATGCTCATAAAAATCAATTTAAACCCCTTATTTCAATGTGCTTGTTTTTAACAGCAGCTCTCAAATCTCTTCTTCCTAGGGGAAAAAGATGCAAGTCTGACTCAAAATGACCACTTCTATCTTTCTAGTCTAGGGCTATTCAATGCCCACCTTTCTGATGCTCAGCTGCATTGCACACAGGGCGGCATCCAGCTTTTCTATGGAGGAAATGGAAAAGATACTGAGTAGGTGAAAATCCCACAAGCTTCCCACAGCATCTGCTAGTATAGCTATGCCAGCAGAGCCCTCCTGTGGAGATGCAGCATATTCCAGCAGCAATACTGAATTTACACCCATAAACCTCCGACAGAGGTTTTGTGTTACAATCAAAATGATTTAAGGTTCAGGAAAGCAAGACTGGTAGGTGGAAGTTACATATTTTAATTAGACCAAACGATACAATTGGGACAAACCTTTATGGACCAGAATATCTGCTTTACAATTATTATAATAGTTATCTATATTTCTTGTTTCAATTTTTATATAAAAAATTGCCTCATCTCTTGTCTCAGTTAAGCAAACCACTGACTATGTACAACATCAAACATAGTACAGGAAACATAACACAGAGGCAAAGACCATGTTATCAGAAAATCTTGATTCTGTACTGGGGTCTCAGAATAAGTTGGGAACTGAGAACCAAGCATGTTCAGCCTGTTCTCCCTTAACAGCCACTAACTGCAAAAAATAAGGAAAATTAACTGCCTTAGAAAATTAGCTCTCCAGTTTCACTACCTGTGAAAGAAATGCCTGACAGTGACAGTCACTGTTCTTTGCGAAGCATAATGTCAAAATGCTATGATTTTTATACTATCAAAGCATCTGAATTACACAGCATACCTGACTCACACTTTCTTTTCCTCTTCATTACCTCTCTGGTATATTCTGACCATAACTTGTCATGTTCTACAGTATAGAATTTTCCATCTAATCATCTCTTAAAACCTAATCATTCTGGCCATACAATAAGATATAATCCTTGTTACATTATTTGTAGGCTCTTTAGTGTTTGTTGACCAGAATGAAGTAATTTACATTTTCAGGAAGTAAAACTGAACAGTGTCCCAAATTCTAGCCTAAGAATTCAGCAGACAAAAAGCATGCTCACTTAAATTTTAAAACTTAACTTTGCTAGCAATATATCACTTGCTCTTATTCAAACAGGTGAGGCCTACTTCATTTCTGTAATACAGCAGGAATACATATATCCCCACTGAAAAGGAAGGGGCAGACAAAAGGCATTGTATCATGAAAACAGCAAGGCATCACATTTCTTGGAAAGCATCAACATTTGAGAATGTGCTGGTGATTCAGAATATGCTTACTTAGGTACTGAAAGAATTAACAGAAAGTCTCTAAGAACCTAGCAGCATCTCAGACAGCACACAATTTCAAATTTGAGCTTAAGAATTGTGCCAAAATTCTAGGAACAGTTTAATTATAGCATTTTTTACACCTCCTTTCAGTCCTTTCTACATTTCCAGAAATGCTTAGCCCTTATATGTGATAGAGAAGGATGGTTTCCATAGCAAACTAGAGTAAGTAATTCTATGTGCGCAAATGGATGCAAGGATGAGCATTCAAACACACATCTCCTGGGCAGTGGCAATGTCCCTAAGGAAGCAGGCTGAACTTGTTCTTCTAATTGGTAATGAATTCCTGTGGTCACAGCTCCCAGGTATAAAAGGCATTACCAAGATTCTGAAATTGTATGTCCATTTCCTACAAACCTCAATCTACTGTTTTTATAAAATGGACTATTAGAAATGTTACTTCTGTCAGACACAGTAGTGTCATGTCTTTCAGGATACAAAAAAACAATCCTGGAAAAAAAAAAAAAGGCACAAAAGGAAACAAGAACTTCTCTCTACTTTTCCAAGTTACAAAAAATATTTGATACTTTTGAGTTCTCCATTGCCATTTAAGAAGAGTAACTCTTGAAGGCACATACCGAAGATGTGAAAAAGGCTACAGATGCTGTTCTAAAAATTAACCATGATTCTTCAAACAGTAACAAACTTAAACCCCCATAGTTTCTGGGAAAGCATAAAATTTTTGATAAACACTTAAGATCATGGCAATCATCACCTGAAGCAGCAAAAATATCACAGATGTAAGACACTTTCAAGTGAGAATAACCACAGGATTAGAATTTATCTCCTTGGCTGTTTAAACAGGGGGCAAGATCCAGCCCTCAGAGCTGGAAGGCCAAAGTACTTGCTATACAGAATTATTTTTTTTCTTTTCCACCACAAGAACCAATGAACCCCTTTAACACAGGAAATCTACCCTGCCCATCCAGAACACTAAATCCTCCCCAGCTGCTTCCATGTGAACTAACAGTGACAGGTCACTCCTTCTCTTCAGAGCTATGAAGAGAAGATACTAAAACTTGCCATAAAGACAACATAGTTAGCCTACACTACAGAAATAGTTGATATGAACTGAAGTTTTCACCGTATGACTTCTTGCTTCCCTCCATGGTTCAAATCACACATGAGCTGCAGACAAAATCTCATCCAGTTAACTCCTCATGCTGGAAGCTCCACAGTGGAGTGACATTTTGTCCCTCCTTCCTCCTCACTTTCCCTCAGAGTTGACAGCCCTGTTCTCAAAGGCAAGCTCTGGTTTTCCCATCCCACTCTTGCTTACAGTCTGCAGCATCTCTGCTCTGGCAGCCTTCAGAGGTGCTTTAAGAAGGGAGAGTCTCTAAAGCAGAGGTCACCTTTAGCTCACCTTTTCCTGCTGCCAGGAAAAGAGGCTATGAAGGAAGCAGTACTCAAGCTCTGGGCTATGCATCTATTGAACACACAACTGGGAGACCTAAGAGTAAATAAAACCAGTATAATAGTAAAATTATTGAGAATATTTAGATATTTATGTCTTATCTGACAGAAAAAAAACCCCATAAGAATGGAGACAAGAGTAAGCATGTGAATGATCCAAGATGCTAAATGAATAATTAGGGAA